GACCCGAGGTGACACAAGCGACCCCCGATCAAAGGAAAACAAATGAAAAGCACGAAGTCACCCACATCATCCACCTCAACTGCGTTAGTGGCCGACACAAGGGAGCTAATACCAAGAATAAATCAGTCAAATTTTCCAAAAAAATCGTTTTCGGAGGCAGCTCGTCACCAAAAACAACAGTAGTAGAAAGAGAGAATCCGAGAACAGATACACCGAAACAGCCAGGTCTACAGCCACACAAACAGAGAACAACACAGAAGCTGACAAGCCACAAGAAAAAGAAATATGGGTCAGCCGCGTCGACGCCAGTGTATGCTGACAAGAAGAAACAACACACAACGTGGAGCCCCCGATGACAATTTCGTCACAGCTAGAGGCCAGCCACAACGAAATTATGGACGAAGTAGTAGCAACAGTATAAAAAGCCACAGAAACGGAAGAGGACACGCCACTATTCCGCCGAAAACTCCAAAGAATCTGCGTCCATTGATTAATTTCGTCAAAACGAGGGATTGGGAAGCTATCAAAGCTTCCTACGGACAGTATTGGTATAACATTCGGAACAGGCTACATATCCGAGAGGATTGTCTACTCATAGACGAGAGAATCGTCATTCCTACCCAACTGAGGCAGACAGTACTCGACAGTCTTCACTTGACACATCCGGGATCGGCAGCTATATTGGATTTGAGTCACCATGTCTGGTTCCCGCATTTTCATCGATCAATTGTGCAAATGGCACAAAACTGCAAACACTGCACAGAGCGAGGTAAAAATTTAAAACCCATCATAGGAAAGAAACATTCATTCCAAATGGAACCAGTAGTCGAACGTAGTGAGGAAGTTCAATTAGATTTCGCAGGGCCCCTTCCGGATGAATTAAATAGGGATGCATACATTCTAGTTGCGATAGATAAGTGGTCAAAGTTCCCAAGCAAAAGTTGTATCAAATATAACAGCAGACATTGCAACCAAGTTCATGCAACGATACATCTGTAATAACCGGGTACCAAGAAGAATAAGATGCGATCAAGCGCAAACATTGAGAGCTAGAAAATTCCTAATTTTTTGTCGGACAAACAATATAAAATTACTATTCGCACCAGTAGATAATCACAGAGCTAAATGAGTGGTTGAAAGAATGATTCAGACAAATAAACGTAGATTGGCAGTAATGAAAATAGACCAGTCAAATACACCATATAAATTAGCTTCAAATGTCGCAGAAATAATAAAAACACTAAGAATCACACCAAATGGTGGCACAAAAATTTCAGCTTTCGAGGCGCATATGGACAGAAAACCAAGTACCCCACTTTCGAATACAGCCACAAATAGCTCACGAAACAATATTAACTGAGAGAGCGCAAAACATGCATATTTAGATCGAAAGAACCTTACGAAGCCACGACTACCAGCGGAAATTATGCATGACCTTCAGCACTGGTCGGAAGACGAAGTACAGATACAAAAGAAAGGATCACCACCTAAAGCCACACATAAGACACTACCAAGGACGCTCACCAACACGAAATCACCGACACAGCCAGAAACAGGTGCACATTCAAAACCTATAGAACTAACTAAAAACAAACTTAACATAAGATACAAGGAAATACAAAGGACAATAGACAAAAACATAGAAAAATGGATAGAGCAGGTAGCACGGAAAACTATTCGGTTAGCAACAAAAGTCAAGAACCCAACAACATTTGAACAAAAATATAAGACCATATATGGTAAAATCCTAACCTACACACCACACACTGCTTGGGTACAAACTTCTGGAAAGCAAACAAGGTTACTAAGAAATAGCGGAACAGCATTTATCCCTCACCCTTTAATAAACGGACCATGCAGACCTTCTCGACTAAGCGATTATGTCGCTTATAAATTCGCATGGAGAACCCTACCATGCCTACGTTTTTTAGACATAGAAAATCTGAATGCTCCACCATATCCAATGTTCAGGCAGGACACTCGAACTGGACTTCCGATCAAATTAACAAGACAGGAGAAGGCAGCACAAATCAAAGCAGCCCCACAAAAAGAAAGGCAAACAAAGCGACAGGAAAGAGGACTGGAGGAAAACCAGCAAGAAGACTACAGACGCCACGAGGGATAAGCCTACAAACTGAGACCGAAGAAGAAGAAAAAATTAACAACAGCATAAAAAAGGACGTTGATTTGTCGTCAACGTGTGAGGATAACATCTCACCGTCACCAGAACGACAAAACCAAAAGCACACACCACCTGCAGTCGCAACAAGAAAGTCGACTAGAAACAGACAGGCGATCCTAGCAGCAGCACTAGGTAACCCCATCCCAATCAGCACAATACAGATAGCGAGTACAACCGGGAAAAAGCTATTTGAACTCGGCTCCCCACCAGAAAAATCAACGCAAAACTACCCAAGCCTAAAATCATTGATTCAGGAGATGGGTTTTACTGACAAAACCCCCGAATACAAGGCTTGTGTACAATTTATAGAGGCTATTAGCCCGAAACACAAACCGACCACAACAAGCAACTTAATCGACTTAACATCCCCAACAGAAGCAGAAGACGAAACGAGGGAAAACAACGACATATTATTCGTTAACACGAAGGACAAAGAAGCGAAAGAAAAAGAAGACAAACAACCACAAAACGACGAAGAGCACGGATCAATGGACGAAAACATAGACAACAATACAGTGGAAACAAGAGGAGAAAAGTTAAAAGACAGGACAAGCAGTCCCACGGGGACTAAAAACTCAATCATTTTCCCGAGGAGGGGGAATGTCATCCAGCATGGATAGATAAAACTCCACATAAAACGTATTATGTATTTATACATCATTTATGTTTTGAGATTCTGTAACGTTAATACGTACTGGTCGATTGACCTTGATAGTGAGGACGAGGATGGCGGCTAAAGTGAACTGCGGTTCAGAAAGAGAATTAACGTTACCATTAAGTAGTTGTTTTAACTTCTCTCTCTCAAGAGACCGACATTATCTATCTATACGGATTCAGGAATTAGCAATTCATACCTTGAGGACATAGCGGTATGACAAGTATAATGGCATTTGTAGAAGAAATCTTGGCTCTTTTCCAGTTCCCCCTTTTTCAAATTCAATTTTGAAAAGATTTGTTGTTCATGCTTTACAGCGTAACATCACGCATTTAGCCGCAATAACACGTGTAACAAACATAAAACTCGGTATTTTGAAAAGGGGGCAGGAACTGGAAAAGAGCCGAAATCTTAAAAAATTACATGATAAACTCATTTTTTTTTAATTTTGTTTATTGTTCTTTACGCTTGCGATTTAGTATGGGTTATTGGCATCCGTTTTTCTGGTTAACAACTTGTTTTACAGAATCGCATGGTTCATTATGAATTCATATTTCTTAGCGTCTCCGGTACTTTTTTTCTGGAGGTAACGAATACGCCTGGGACGGCGAAGTTTCTGGTTTCGCTTCTGAGCAGGACTTGTTTTTGAATTGTTGGCGAGTTATTTGGCTGTTTATGTTTTTTTTTGGCTTAGTTGCCACATCTTAGAATTGATTTTATGCGCGCAATTTTCATAGTAGTTGATTCTATTGTTTTTATTTACTCCTGCAGGAACTGCAAGAACTTTTTTTGGCCCAATTGGTTTCGGCCCAATTGGTTTCGGCTCAAGATTTTACGGCTTAGTGGCCTAGTTGTCGTTCGTTTCAAGGGAAGATACATTTTATACTCCTCTCCTGCGCGTAGTTTGCAAATGATTGCATTTTTTTTTTCAAATAATCACAGTAAAAATAGTGAGAAATACCTAAATTTCTAGTTAATTTGGAGACCTGGTTAGGCAAAACGAATTGACGCTGAATGAAGAAAAATCTATAAGATTTTTCCAGCTTGCATAGTAGAACCAACCCTGTTAAAGAATACTTAGAAAACTGAATGAAATGACAAGACTGCGCGGTGTTATCATCAAACCGCATGCCAATTTTTTCGGAGCTGAACTTCAAAGAGCATCTTGAAAAAAATCAGAAAACGGACAGAAATCGTTGTCCATGATTTATTGACTGAGGATTTATTTCAATTGACTCAGTTGGTATTAGTGTACAATACCTACATCAAAACTATTTATCAATGTGTTGTCCTGGTCTAGGGCACAGTTGGTAAGTCGGATAATAAAATACTAGAGCAACACAAAGGTTATTATAGAAAAATTGTAGCAAGTTTCAAATTTGACACCACAAGACATCCGAAAGAGAAACATAAGCTTTGCAACATCCGTGAACTACCTCCTGCATGTGAATTACTCAAGCTTTTGCTAAGAAAATTAAAAAAAAAACATAGTCAGATAAGATGTCCAAATCGTCACTGAAAAAACAAATTATAGAAACGTTTTTTTTTGTAATAATTGTAAAAAAAAACAATAGAAAAAAAAACAATTATCAAATCGCAAATCAAACAAAATAGCCATATCGATGGTTGAAACTAGAGTTAAACTACTGCTTAATAAATGTTCTAAAATGGACAGAAGTATATATGTTAAGATAGCACTATTGCAGAGTCGAAACTAGCGGGTTATATGCATTCGTAAAGATATCTTTATTCATGCGATAATGAAGAGTCAGAAAGGGTTTCTCGGTAACTAGGTATTTAGTTGTTGACTGAAATTGATTGCTCATGAGGCGCCACTTGAAGGGTAAACTGCCAACTTGGTAGCCTCCCAAGGCGCTGTTGTAAAATCTTTATATTTTTCACATGTCTATGTTTTTATATCCCGGACTTGAAAATTAAAATTTTGATGATTACTTTTGCGCGCATTTGAATGCATAATTTGAAGACCATTCAAAAACTATCTTAAAATGTGCAGCGATGCTCGAAGCATTAAACAACAATGACAGCTCAAATTCTGAAGAGGGCCAAGCCAGAGACATAAATTAACGATTGGTTAATCTGCTGGTTATTCGGAGTCAAGCTGCTTGTAATAACTTACTTAACAGCGAAGTCAGAAAAGCTAAATTTGTTCGAAAGAGTAGTTTTTAAATTAATGAGAACTTTTCACTTTTTCGTAAATACGAAGCTTGTTTCTTGTATGATTACAAAAAAGCTTCTTTGAGTGATCGGTCGACTTGATCTGTGAAAGTTGTGAACAATGGATTCGTACTGCAGGATGCCTAATCCAGAGGCCCTCTTGATGAGTTCACTGCCCAACGTGCTTTTTTCTGGCGATCGGAACAGAAGCACAGTTGACGCCGCGGGCGAGCATTCAGCCGTACCACAACACTCGAATGCAAATCTTTCTGGCGAGCGTTTGAACAAAGCCGACGACTGTCAAAACTTTATTGGTGCAACTGTTCGCAGCTCAAGAGAGATTAATTATACAGGCGGTGAACACAAAAGAAACGCATTAGTAGAGAAAAATGACGCCTCCAAATCCAAACACGATTTACAGATCCGACTAAAAAGACCAAATTACGAAAACCAGGGTAAGTCTGGCGTAACGAGTAACGAAGCATTTATATCAAATTCCACGCCTAATATATTGGTTCAGCAATTTTGGCACCCATCATCGGCAGCTTACAACCCAAAAATGTTGGGATTCCGAGAGAGTACTTCAGCAGCCTCTCGTGTACGTAGAGGGACAACTGGAGAAACTGGAGATACCACTCTGACTGTTTTGGTGCACAGTAGAACCAACAACGACGGCAAGAATCTAATAAACACAAGTAGAACTGATGATGTGTTCAATCCAAATATGGGCAACAGCAACACAAGTAGCACTGCGCGGCTTAATTTCAACACTATGAAGTATGTTTTTTTTTCTACTACATTGGAAGTTTAAAACAGTGCTGCATAGGTTGTCATAGAAAATTAATCAAGAATTCATGAAGCTGTGGCAAAAAATGTGTATATACTAGAAAATTGATGCAACAAAAACTTATAAAGGCGAATATCGGTCATAACAAAGAAACAATATTTGAATGGTAAGTACTGAATTCTGAATATAGCCAATTCTAGACAACTACTTGACCGAAAGAAAATCGACGCACTGCAACAAATTACAACAATACCAGATAGTAGAGTTCTCATTCAGGCATAAAAATTTTGATTTCATCCAATTCTTAGGATTCTACATCAGATTCAATCGCTTATCGAGTAAGCTTGTACTTGTCGGTACAAATGTTCCTATTGATTTGATTTTCTTTAAGCAAATATAACAATTAAGTAAATCATTAGACTCCACTCGATCGTTTGCAGATTTTTTCTGAAACATGATTAACCTGCCGCATTTGCACCAACTTATTTGATGCCGAGGCAATAAATGTAACAATTTTGAAGCGATATATTTACATTAGGGGCCCTGTAAATTTCTTTGGACCCCTCTATCACACTTGCACCTTTCTAATTACAATGTAAATACTTCAATGCAGGTATCCAGACCGAAAAGCTCTTTACTTGTTGGGGCAAAATCCGAGTGAAATGACGGGGCAGAAATGGCTGAACAAACTGATTGCGAGACGAGAGCAGCGAAACAGTCAGTTCCTAGAGAGACTGAAGCAGAGGCAAGATGCCAATAACCAGCCACAGAAACTGAGTACCAGTCCATTCAACACTCGCCCTCTCACCTCCCGAACCTCACAAAGAGCTCAGCAAACCAACTCGGTGGCACCGCATAGAATCATCGCCCAAACTAATTACCAACCTCATAATACTTACCAAACAAGCCGCCTACCCCCAACGGCCGGCAGGAGATACATCACAAGAGCTGCAAACTCCCCGCCGAGAACTGCCAGACGTCCTGGACACCTGGAATCGAGCGAACATTATCTAAGCAATTCCACTGGTATGCTTAACTATGCTAGCAACCTCCATAGCACTTCGCCTTTGTCGCAACGCAACAGGAGTAGAGGTGCTTTGAACGAACACGAGATAACGGTGGATCTAACGAAAGAAAACACCACAAATATTGCGTATAGGCTTCTAGGTGCTTACGTGGAAAACAACCCTGCACCCATGACCAAAACATTTATGAACATTGGCGAAGCACCCAGCAATTTTGTTGCAGAATATCTCGAAGACAGGAATGTGGAAAAATTAGACTGCCTTTCTATATGTCGCCTCTGGCTCTATAGATTAAATTATGACTGGGATATTGTTGAAAACTTTGATCTAACAAACGAAACTTGAATGTGTAACGAAACTGATCATAACTTAATTTAATTATCGTATATAATATTTAGATGAAAACAATTGTAGAATTAACGTTTTGAGCAATTTTTTCACCAGGCGATTTTTTCCATTGGCGAATTTTGTTGCAACTCGTATCTACTTTTTGCCTGAAAATTTTTATGGAGCTCTCTTCGAACATTTTGATTAACAATTTGTGTTTTTAGGGTTGGTTGACCAAAAAGGAAATTCATTAAATAGTACAAATTAGGTACTGACTCTTTGGGTGGTCAAATGGTCGATACCCTCCTTAAATTACTACTAAGCATGTAAACCGTTTTTTTTATCTGCGAAATTAACAAAATATTTATGTTCGATGTGGTTTCCCTTGAGTTCAAATTGATACCTAACAAATTTTTAGTGAATTTTTCAAGCATTTAAAGCCATTAACGCTTTGATGTCTCAATTAAAAACTCAGTTCACAATCAATTTCGTTAGGGTTTGTTTTTAAGTTTAAGATGTTATAATTCATGCAAGCTGCACATCGAGTTAGGGCAACAACGAATTTTTCTAGTTCCAAAGCCATAGCGAAGAATTTAGCTAGCCAGAAATTGTTCCAAAATAGTATGAGCAAAGCTGATTGACCCAAATACTGCGTCGCCTGAAGTAAAACATATCTTAGCATGTTCTTAAGCGTGTTCTTAGCATTGCATCTGTGGCGAGGGATTTTTTTTTTCATTTGAACAAATCTTCAAATTACTAAATCACGTTTGTTTTGCTAAAATTTGATTTGTCTCAGTTTGACTCCTTGTTTCTTTGCACTTGCAATTAGCAAACGGTATCAAACAGAATGGAACATGAACTTTTTTCATGTAAACAACTTATTTTATAGCAAAACTGCTGAATCAATTTGTCAGCTTTTCTGTCAGATTTTTGTAACTATCTAGCTCCGATTTTGTTAACTTTCAGTTTTCCATTCGCTTAAGGAGTTTGTATGCCTTAAACGGTTTCGTTGTCAATTATGTCGGATAAGTAGCCTCATATTGTGTTATTCATTGGCGAAAAAAAACTATGCTGAGTGTGACTGTTTGAATTCTTGTTTCTTGTCAAACTTTTTTCACTGTTTGACTTCTTGTTTCGTTACCCTTGCAATTAGCAAACGGTATTAAATGGAACGGAATATGAACATTTTTATGTAACCAACTTGTTTTTAACAAAACTGCCTAATCGATTCGTCAGCTCTTCTGTCGGAAGTTTTGTCAACAACCGAGTTTATTTGAGTTTTATTGCCCTTAAGCTACGCAATCTATTATATATTTAAATGCGGGCTTCACTATCTCGCCACGTTTAAGCTTTTTCAACGTAATGTTTTTGCATGTTTAACGAAAGAATTTTTTCACGTTTAAGCTATACCGTATATTGCAATGGTTAAGATTTTTTTTTTCGATTTTTCAGTTGGAAATCAGCGTTTATTGTGTTTATACTTCCAGGAGTTGTAAGTTTTTCTTCCAAATATGACTGATGAAATTATAGTTTCTGAGATATGTCGTTTTTTTTTTGTGATTTTTTCAAAAAAAAAATCAGAAAAGTTGAATTTAATTTTTCTTCAAAACATGAAATTCCTGACCCTGTAGTCGGGGGCTGTCAGGGCACTCTCAGAGTTGCGAATCTTGCCTCCAAATACGACTGCTCAAATCTTTGTCGTTTTACCGTTTATGACGTTTTTTAAGATTCGTTCAAAAACTTTTAAGAAAACTTCTAATTTTTATTTTTGTGCAAAATTTGTAATTCCCAGCGCTGTAGTTGGTTACTGTAAGAGTACTCTCAGGAGTTGCAAAATGAATAAAAGTTAACTTTCCAAATTTTGAAATTAACAACCCAGTAAATGGGTGGTGTCCGAGTACTCGAAGGATGCAAATTTTTTCTAATTGATTTTGTTAAATTTCAGTTTTTCCATTCGCTTAAAAAGTTCGTATGATTTAAACGGTTTTGTTGTCAATTATGTCGGATAAGTAGCCTCATTTTGGCGAAAAAAAAACTTATGCTGAGTGAGTCTGTTTGACTTCTAGTTTTTGTCAAAATTCTTTCACTGTTCGACTTCTTGTTTTTTTTTTACCTTTCCAATTAGCAAACGGTATTAAACAGAATGGAACGTGAAATGTTTTATGCTGAGTGAGAATTTCACATTTTGAGTTTCAAAAAAGTTTGCTCTTATTTGCGATTAGCAGGCGTAATCATATCGGAATATAGACTTTTTTGGTTTAACAAATAGTTTACCACAGTCAGTCGAATCATTTGCTCAATCAGCTGACATGCTCAATTTCCTTAAAATTCAACTTTTAGTACTAGATGAGTACTAGTTGCTGCGTATAATTTTCAAGGGGGTTTTAAAACTTTTAAAATTTTTCATACAAAATTAGTGTTTTTCGGCTCAACTGGTGTCTGGGTTGTCGGCCTTGCTTCCGCTTCGTGAGTTTTGTTCATTTGCTAATTTGAATTTAAAATGTCTTGCTTGGCAAATTTGCCTAGATATCTTGATTGATAAAAAAAGTTTCATGAAAATGTGAGGGATTCTCAAAAAATTCTCTTGCGATTTTTAAAAAAAGGGGTGTTCATAGAAAGATGTTTTACACCCTTGTTTGCTTGCAAACTTCTCAGGTGTTTTTTATCCCTGTGACTGCAGCCTTCGAAAAAGTCTGAGCGGAGACTATTTGAAGGATATTTTTGGTTTTTTGTTTCATCTTCTCAAAAACTAACCCAACGATTTTGAAATTTTTCCTTGAATAGTGATGATTTGAGAAGCTCCCCTTTATGAGCGGCTACGTCAAAAAATTTTTACACGTAAAATTATGGCCCACCTAATAGTTAATTTTGAGATTTTTTTAACAGTTTTTTGAAATTTTTGATTTTTCACGAGAACTATTCTGCCAAACCTGGGTTTTTGGGCACAATGGAAAACACAGGTTGGGTGAACCTTAAACTTTTTTTGAACAAATGATTCTCGGAAATGTCAATTTTCTGATTTGTTGATCGTTTTTCTTGAACTTTTCTCGATTTTATCCTTCCAAATCTAGTATTATTGGTTTAATCGATGCAGAAGGTTGTTGAAAGCTTACTTTTACAACTTGTTATGACCAGTTTTTCCCAATGTTTGGGGCACTGGCAAAAGTTCTAATGTTTTAAAAACTAATCGCTGAAATTTTTGTTGACAACATTTTATTATGGATTTTTGTTTTTTTTCGGCTCAAGGAGTGTCTACGCACATACTGTTTGGTTAGTAGCAGCTCAGAAAAAAAAACTGTAAACTTATTAACCTTGCGATTGCAAGGGTATTGCTATCGGTTACTAGACTGTTCAATCCCGTAAATAACTTTAGGCACAGGACTCATCTTCTGGATCCTGGACTCATTCATCCACTTGGTCTTTCTGATGCAACAGAGATGTTTTGAGGAAAATAGTAATTCAATTAAATGGTCTAATCGAAATTTTTTTTTTAATGTTGGTTGTAGTTTTACCAACTCGGTTTGTTAAAATTTCTTTTTTTTATTTATCTTTTTTTTTGGTTTAATCGGTTTCGGCAAATTTTACATCAGTTTAGTGGCCCCATATTGCATGATTTGTTACGCGAAAAATTGTTCTGCGAAAACTATTTGTGCGCGTGTGTGCGTTTTGAGGGTGGTGAGGAGTACATTTTTATAGTTCGTATTTTTTTCCGAATTTTTTTCGGCTTTAAGGGTTTCTGCTCAGACATTTTTTGATTTTTTACCAACTGCCAAGTTATCCACTAGTACTTTTTACATTCTATTGTATTAATTTGTTTTAGTTTCTAGAGGAGATCTTGTTTTTTTCTACTTTTCCTAGTTATTTTGATTATTTTTTCGAGAATTGCATCGCAAATGGTTCGAAGCTAAGGTGTTTCTCGATTGTTTTTCTGAATTTACTTTTTTTTCTTTATCATTTTTTTTCTAATTGCTACATTGCAATATTGCAAGCAATTTTTATTTGAAGACAAAACAGGCATAAACTTTAAGTTAAACGAGCAAGTGATAAGAACGTGATTGAATATAAAATAAATTGTGAGATTCTTTGTATGAACTAGTTATCTGGGGAACTTTTTTTACTCAGATCATGGTAGTTTGTCCGGTATCAGGTGATGCTAACGCTGGAAGCCTTCAAGATATCGAGTTTTTTATAAAAGGAATCTAGGTGAATTTTCTCAAGAAACGTTTATTTTGAAGGGTGGCTGCCTTGAAGCAAATCCAAATCGGTAACACCTATACGCCACACTGCAACTGCGTTTGTGGCTCAGGATAGACCACCCACAGCATTTTGATAATAGTTGCATAAAAAATAGGAAAGAGAGTTTTCTATCAAATCATATCCTTTTTTATGTCGGTTTTTTGAAAATAGGTCATGAGTTCGTTAAGTGTTTCGAGATGGTTTCGTGACATATCCAGTTTGGTCGCCACATTGCATTTTCCTCAATTACTAAGTCAAACTGTTTCAAGCTTGACTCCGGTACAAAACAAAAGGCAGGAATCAAATTCAGCGTTAAGACTAGCTCGCTTTTTTGATTCGTAAATCTTATTAAGGCCCAGCTCGGATATTTTTCGCATAAAGCTCTGACAGTGGTGAAAACAACATCCTTTAAAATGATATTGATAATGAGACGCAAAAGTCTTCAATGCTGCAATTTCGAATTCATTCAAAAATCTTTTCGGGTTAGCGTCACCGATAAAAAATTTCATTTCGAATAGGAATCTGTTATACGCTGATAAGCGTTTATTGGTGAGAAAGGCGTCAAGTTAGTGTGGATGAAACCCATCAATCTTGACGTGTACAGTGTAAAGCTGTTAAAACTTACTGGGTCAAATTTTAAATGTACATTGTTCAAGCCAAGTCTTTTTGTACAAATTTAGTGCGTTGAGGTTGTCAATATCGCCAAAAATCAATATGAGTTGCGTATCTTGTTTTCTGTTAATGAAAAAACAAAATAGCTGAAAACGATCTGGTATTTTGAAATGACGGTCAACTATAGCAAAAAAGGGCAGGGA